TTACGCGAACAACTTAATCATTCTCGGGGACACGTTTTTTTTTTTTGTAAATTAATTTTGTTTGGTTTTGTCACTTTGACAGGCTTTTGTTTTTATTGTTTTTTTTAAATGTAGGTAATATAAGGAGAAGTAAGACGAAAATGCGTCCTTGTGTCCTTATATCTGAGATACTAAAGTTCGGACTACGTGGTATGGAATATAAATATGGTATAGAAGGAAGCTAATGTTCAGCAGTAGGTGAAAACGTGGTGATGATGATGATGATGACGATAGCCAGATGACATGTGTGTTTTTAAAAGATGCAAGTTTCCATAGGTAATATTTTAAGCCCAATCCGTCCCCAAACCCCTAAAGGCTGGCAACGCGTAACTCCTATAGGGTTGCGGGTGTCCATGGGCAGATTGCTTGCCATCAGGTAATTCGTCTGCTAGTTTGCGACCCTACCACACATAAAAAACATTTATCATTACAGTATAGGATCCATATTAAAATTTGCTGTTAATAATGTGAAAATCAGTGAATTTGGATAATAGAAAGCAGTATTTTTTGCATGTACCTATTTTATGGTTTAGATCAGCAAACGAGCATAGGATTACCTAATGATAGGCACATCGGCGTCACCTATAGGATGGAGGGTGACGAAAATTTGTTGCCGGTTACATCACATCATGAACCTCTAAATGCCTTCTGTTGAACAAAGGCCTTTGCTCACACCGAGAAGAAATTTTGTTTTTATGTAATAGGTCGGCAAACGAGCATACGGATTACCTGATGGTAAGCAATCAGCGCCGCCCATGGACACTCGCAACGGAGGAGTTACGAGGGCGTTGCCGACCTTTTAGGGATTAGGGATTTAGAGATTTAGGGATTGAGGAGGGATTGGGGGCGGGGTAGGATTGGGCCTCCGGTAACCTCACTCACGCGGCGGCAGACGGATTACCTGATGGTATGCGTTCGGCGCCGGCCATGGACACCCGCAATACCAATGGAGTTACTAGTTCTTTGCCGGGCCTTTGCGAATTGAGGTTTCGAATATTTAAAGATTGGGGAGGGATAGGGGGAAAAATTTGGCATCCGGTAACCTCACTCACACGGCGAAACACAACGCTGTGGTTATTTCACGCCGGTTTTCTGTGAGGCCGTGGTACCACTCCGGTCGAGCCGACCCATTCGTGCCGAAGTATCTCCCCACACTTAAAATTACCACGCTTGCTCCATGAGGATTAGCGATTTCAAACTTAAGATTCTAAATCCAGGTTTACTTTTCAGGCTATTTTCTTTCACCGTTTGACAGTGATGTCTCTGAACTCGGAAAATAACATAAGCATCGATGTGACTTTTTCCACGAGAAGCGGGCGCCTTAATCTTCGGACCACCAGGACATTTTAATATTCATACGAACATAAACTCGAAATTCCCTAATAAAAACCTATTAAGAATTATCGAATTAATTACTTACTTACTCGTACATACACACAGAACATTAATAATGGTAATTTTTGTAAAAGACAAAAGAAAAATACATTTTATTATTTCTACTCAGACATCCGGGAACCGAACCACGCATGAATTAAACAATGTTTTCATTTAATAATATCTTCGTTTACATTCTGAAAGCTGATTACAGTATCATTTTGTTCAGCAAGCACTGAGATTAACTGAGTGAAATTGTGGTACTTACGGTTTTACAGTTCTGAAGCTTTTTTTCTGCGTTTTTTTTTTAAATATTGTTTGCTTTTTCTGTTATAAATTACTATATAGCATAAAAATAAGTTGGTCCTTCTAACCTTATGTTATTATATCTACGTATGCTTAAATCTTTAATAGATGGAGTGATTGAGGAGGAAGCTTAAGATGCATCATCATCATTAAATAGTGGAGGAATTTAGTATCAGCATTGCAGCCGTGCGAAGCCGGGCGGGTTGCTAGAAACTAATGTATTGATACCTACCTATATCTTTTTAGAAAAATGTGTTTAGCAATATTACGAAAACTGAATACAGAACTTTAATAATGTCTGGAAGAAATCGCTTTTTGTAGTATGATCACCCTTTTTAATCACAACGTTCTTTCATTGTATCTAACGTGTTTCTGCTTTGTGTGTAAGATAAATAACATAAAATTAATTAAGCTGACTTAAAGCAAATTCTATAACTACTAAAGATTTGGTAATACCTGAAATTTTAATATCCGAACGGGAATCGAAACGTCGCTGTTGTGACTATAGAATTGTAGGGCAATATTTACCGAGACCTGAATCAGGATAATCATAACATAACTAGCAATCACTGCTTATCAGAAAATGTAAACTCTTAAAAATTTATAAATACTAATAGCTAAGTTTACCTGATCTCAGCTACGTTGCTACGTCGTAACCCCAGGCTCTACGCCTGCTACGCTTTAGTAGCAAATGCTACGTGCTACGTAATAATCTAAATTTTGCTACACAGTCATTGTATTTCTTTCTTTTAATATCTATAATTTTGGTTAGTATTATTACTTAGTGTTATAGTAATCAAATTAGTAAGATTTCGACTTCAAGGAACGGAAAAAAATTATAAGCCAGAGGAAAGAAGAAAAGAGAAACTCATTACAGAACCGAACGCAGCGGGTATGGGTTGGCACAGAGATTGAGCAACTAGCTTTAGCACAAATTTTCATGATTCAAGCAAAAATTATTTTTTTTTACTATCACAAATCGTTGTTCTGAATCTTAATGTAAATCGTATGTAAAGTAACTAAGAAATTGTTTATGAAACTTATTGAAAATTGTAACCGTGGAGTTTCTTGCTCGTTCTTCTCTATAGGAATCTAAAACACTTTGACTGACCGACAGACTGAAATTTTCTACCTATATGCTTAATTGTTTTTATAATAACTATCGTGAGACATACTAAATTAACTAAAAATCGCGGGTTACTCACGTGTACATATTGAGAAAAGCTCTATATGCTTAATTATTGTAAATATATTAATAGGCCTATTAAGGTCTAATTGCAATAAATTATGTGAGTTCATGAGAAAACTAGCTTCCGCTCGCTAATTTGCCTTCATGGTATATTGATGAAAAACAGCCTATGAGTTAATCCAGGATATCTCAGATACATACTAAATTTCAATCAAAGTGCTATTTAATAACAAACATATGTACATCCATACATTCACCTTTATAATATTACCTATTAATGGTATTATGCTAAACACGTCGCAGAAAAAACTAAAAGCATAGAACAAGCGACATTTTAAATCAAGTTTTGAAAGAAACTTTTACTCTGAGATCAACATCTTCCTTTGTTAATATTAAATACCGTCGTTGTAAAGGATGTAAGCAGAACAGTTAATCAAGCTCCCGGCTGAGCTACAAGATAACTGCATTACTCTAGTGTCGATCACCTCATTGATTCCACGAATTATGTCGCTCCATTCTCGGGTAGGTACAGTGCGCAAAAAACTTCTAGGTACCGAAAAGTCGTGAGTAAAAAGTACGAAAAAAAACTTTCTAATCGTCAACATTTTTTTTTTGTAATTGTCACAATTTGTTTTTCTTTTTATGAATTTAGAAATTCATAAAACTATTCACAGTTGCTACTAACATATATTAAGTCCCGATTTTGCTACATACTGTATTAAAACTAGTAGTTTTAGTTGATTCAATTTCAGAGTCCATTTTAATATTAAAGGCTTTGTTATTAAAAAATCATTGTGAAATAAGATGGTTCCGAAAATTCTTATAAAATGCTAAACTAATATCTAGTAACACAAAAAAACCAATTTAATCGAAAAACCTCACTCGAAAACCGTATTTGGACAAAGAACGCTTAATTAAAACTCATTAGTTTTTACTGTTTATCAATTACAGTTGCTCGAAGTCCCTACCGGAACCCTCTGAGGAATTATCCTCCATCCCTCCAATAAAACTCCGATAATTATCGCCAACTATCGACACGTGTACGATATACGCTTTATTAGTTGGCATCCAAGTTATTTTGTTTGCTTGTTTGTTAGTTAAGTTAAAGTTTTCTTACGCTTTATAGTTTGCATGACATAGGAGTAAAGTGTCTATGGTAGGCGTCCGTTTCTCATTCATTTTTTTGGGGAAAATCATCAAATGGCTTCTCCCACCCAGGATAAGCCGGTAGAGAGTGTCAGACTCTTACTGACTAAAAACACCCCCGTTCCTTCTCCTGTTTTGGGCCGAGGCCGCGGTGCCATATTGCGCTTGCCCCACAACCCCAGGTTTCTCGTCCATGAGAGTGTGGTTTTGAAACTTATTTAGACACCACTGACATTATGGTGAACGAAAACATCGTGAGGAAACTAATTTCTAAATATAAGTTTGAATTCACCATTCCGCTTGAGCAAGCGTGGTAATTAATCCTCAAATCTTTTTCGTGTAAGAGGCCGTCGCTCGGCAGTGGGTACTTATAGGCTGATGATGATACAAGTCATACAAATTCTGGGTGCAAGCAATTTCCAAGTAATAGATTGTTAAGTACCTCCCAATTCAAGACTAAATAACCTGAACCACAAAGAAAACTCTTTATTGAAAAAGAAACCTTATTACATAAGAAAAAGTAATGATATTTATTCGCTCAAATGAGCTGTAAGTAAGACTTAATTTTCGTTGATGCGAAAACTTTTCTTCACACAGTAAGGGACATGTTACACATATATTCTAATATAACTAGTTAGACTGAAAACTGGGCCTATTACTAATAGTTTGGACAATGGCAATAATGATCAAAGTTGCGTGAACAACACACATCTGTGCTAAATTAGAATATACTTTATTACTTGCGTACAAAGTTTTATTTTTACTCAGAATACACGAATACTCAGATATAAAAGAGAACCTTATGATGGTAATGTAGACTTTCAGACCATAAAATAGGTTTTATTAGTATCATTTGACCAAAGAGCTGACGCATTATCTGATGGTAAGCAGTAACTCGCCCATGAGCACCCGCTATAGCAAAAAGACTTGCAAATGTGCTGCCAGAATGTTGCGGATAAAGGGTTTTGGGGATTTAAGGATTGGATGGGGCGAGAGTAAGAGGTATATTAGAGGAAGTTTGAAAGTGGCGCCAGTGACTGAAAAGTTGAAAGGGAACCGTTTGTCTTGGTATGGCCATGTAAAAAGGAGGGATGAAACGCTTGTTACAAAAAAAGCCATGAGTATAAATGTGGATGGATGGAGAGGGAGAGGGAGACCAAAGAAAATATGAATGGATTGTGTGAGAAGTGATATGGAAGACAAAGGAGTTAGCGATAGCGTGAGGGGTGACAGGACAGAATTGAAATAAAAAAAAACATATTGCGCCGACCCCAAATAAAACGGCACAAGGGCAGGAAGATGATGATGGAGTGAGAGTAAGAGTTGTGTCTCGAACACTCTATAATAATGTTTTTTTGGTAAGAATGAAGTTGCAAGTGCTTTGTCATATTTTTGAGGATAAGGAGTTTTGGGGATTTAAGGATTAGACTGCAGTGAGGTGAATAGAAGGGTTGGGCCTCTAGCACTCCTAAGTAATGATCTTATTGTAGAAACGATGACCAATAAATACTGAGTCCGAGGTAGATAAGACTATTAATTTAAATTTTATTTATTTTCAACTCAAAATATAAAACGTCAAAGAATTTTAATGCATTGCAAAAAATACGTGTTTGTAATGAAACTAAGCAAGCTTTTACAGAGCAAAGGCAAACACCACACACTCCAACATATTTAATTAACGGCTACATGAAAAAATAGACAGAAAAAGAATAAACATCATTTAATTACTTTTAAAACCTTTGCTTTGCTAGAGCAAAAAAAAAACAACTCAGAAACCGCTTACTTAGGTACTATCCGATCAAGCAGTTATTTCAGTGCAAGAAAAACCAGAAAAAAAAAGATAAAAGAAAAAAATCAACCGATTGTTTTGCTTACCCTACCACTTAGAAGAAAAAGATCCCAGTTTTTATTTAAACGTAGACGGGAGGCCTTTGCTTTGCTTTAGTGCGATTGTGTTTAATAAAGTATATTTTTTTGCTAACCCTCCTCGGTGGGTGTTTTTTTATTTATTGGATACTTGGTCCGCCCTGTGTTGTTATCGCATTCCAGTTTTACAATTGGATTTTTATTAAGTGGTTTTTTTTATATTTTCGATTATACTTTGTGGTTTTTAAAACGCCCAAAATTTAATCCAAATTAATATTATAAATGCGAAAGTAACTCTGTCTGTCTGTATATCTTTTCTTCACGTCTAAACTACTGAACCTATTTGTATGAAATTCGGTACAGACATAGTTTGGAACTCGAGAAAGGATATAGAATAGTTTTTAAAACCAAAAATCTGCAGGAAGTCACTATTACACACGAACAAAGTCGCGGGCTTTTCAGATCTGGACTATGGAATTTCTTTTTCTCTTTCTTCCACTTAAAATATCAGGATCGTAGTCAGAACCTACGTGACGTAATAATTTGAGTAGTAAACAAAGTCAAAAGTCAAAAAAGGTTTTGTTCCAATTTATAATGGCACAATTAAATAATAGTCCATCTATCTGATCATCGGTGAAGCTAGGTACAACATCCATAATATCTTTGCGGAGCAGGTCTATAGAAACTGATGACCTTTTTGCGGGCTGATAGTGGCCACCGAAGCGGTATTAGTAAGGTAGAGTGGAAATCCCGTGCTCTCTAGTCGGTGCTCATCAAAAAAACAGATGCCTTTTTCAGTTTTCAACCGCTAAAAAGGCAAAATAACCTAAAATTTGCCCGATTTACTATTAAATGTTTAGTACCTACCTCCTTTTTATTGCGGCAAGCCCACTGCAACCTCCCAAAACCACTTAACAGCACATTATCCTTTTTTTATGTGATAGATCGGCAAACGAGCAAACGGATTACCTGGTGGTAAACAATCAGCGTCGCCCGTGGACACCCGCAACGACGAAGGAGTTCCGAGTGCGTTGTCGACCTTTTGGGGATTAGGGATTTGGAGATTTTGGGAAAGGGAACAGATTGGGGTAGGGGAAGGATTCAGCCTCCGGTAACCTCACTTACACGGCGAAACACAAGTCTTTGGTTATTTCACGCTGGTTTTCTGTGAGGCCATGGTATCACTCCGGTCGAGCCGACCCATTCGTGCCGAAACATGGCTCTCCCACACTTATATGCAATTAATTTTTATACCTAAGTAGATTAAATGAAATAAATATAAACATTTTTTACAAGATATTTTAATAAACACGTAAACTCAATCAACAAACAAAAACATTTAGGTACCATATTAAAACCAGAGTCAGAATAAAATTTAATTCAATATCAATAAAACTTAATTCGGCAACAATTCTTTTGAATTGCTACACTTAATAAGACGTAATGTACCGTTACAGCGATGTTACTGTTCAGCTTGCCTTACCTAAATGGGATGGACTATAAAACCACACATATACATATGTACATAGATATGTCCACATATATATATGTACATAGATATGTACAAAGAAACACGATTATCTCATAATTACAAGGTAAGACAAGGTGGACTTATAATTTCTAATTATAAGTTTGAAATCGCCAACCCGCATTGAGCAAGCGTGGTGATTAATGCTCAAACCTTCTCCATGTGAGAAGAGGCCTTTGCTCAGCAGTGGGCACTTATAGGCTGATGATGATGATGACGATGACACTAGAGAGCATCATTTACGAAAAACGGAGTTATACACTTTCCTCAAACAACATTCATGTTGTCTTTCGCCGTGTGAGTAACATTACTGGAGGCTCATTCCTTAATCCCTTTTTCTATCCTTATCACGGCCTAACAGAAAACCAGCGTGAAACAACCACAGCGTTGTGTTTCGCTAAATGCCTCCCTCTCCTCCATCGCTTTCCAATCCTGAAATAGCCGGAACTCTTATCCCTAAAAGGCCGACAATACTCTTGTAACTCCTTTGGTGTTGCGGATGTCCATGGGCGGCGCTAATTGCTTACTATCAGGTAATCCGTCTGCTCGTATACCTATGCCATAAAAAACCCACAAAAGGCCATATAAAGGTCCTCAGAACTCGGGGGTGATCCAGAAGACCCGACCTATTGGTGCCAAACAAGGCTCTCCCACATCTGGTTTTTTAATTATTTGCGGCCGTACCTCAAGCGCGTCTGAGCGATTGATGAGTCGGCTGCCCGATGAAAATAATAAAACCTTAAGTAATACACGTAAGTCATTTTTGTTTCAGTAGCCTATATTGCCCCACAGCTAGGCAAATGCCTCCTCATCTCGCTTCCTCCACACCTCTCGATCTTTCGACCATGTCCACTAGTCTCGACGATAGGCGTCTAGATCGTCATACCATCTTTTCCGGGGCCTATCTCGCCTGCGGCATCCATCCTAAGGTTTTCACTGGGTGACAATACTAGCCCATCCCTCCGGATGCATTTGGCTGACGTGTCCGGCCCAGTTCCATTTTAATGTTGCCGCCTTTTGGTTCACATCTGCGACTTCTGTTCTGGAACTTATCATGGTATTCCATATGCGATTGGTCCGTTTTATTCCTAACAGTCTACATAAATATAAACATCCGTATAAATAATTTCCTGGCACAGTAAAACCAAAATCCGAAATTGAAATTGAAAATCTCATCTTCAACCGATATGGAAGAAGTTTCGGCTAAACACAAGTAAAACCGCAGTATATAGCTAGTTAAGTACTCGATGTCAATAACCAGCCTACCGCAGAACCGCTCCTCTTGCGTATAACAGTTAGCTACGGTTCTAAGATGGTCTAATGAAAACCGTGGGTTGTGGTCGCAGTGATAGCGGGAATCAATTTATTTTCCATCTGTTGATACATACATGACGTGAACCTATTAATAGAGTAACAAGAGCAGTTTTTAGGCGGTTTTTTAGTCACGAACATTCTGACATAGAGCGAAAGAAGACATCGAATGATTCTGGATAGTCGGCTGCGCCACGTCGCCGTGATGCCCACGCTGCTCTTGAATCAGAGTCCTGTTGTGACTTGAAAGCAGTAGAGCTGTTCTTAGTTAATTCACGTGCGTAAGTCTTTCGGGTGATTTTCTTCCTTCAAAACAACATTATTTGGCAAAAGTAAAAATGATTTTATAAATTTGTCTGTAACTGTACAAACGAAATTAATATTTAAATTCATAAAAAATCTGATTATCACCAACCCTGATTTCTCAAGAAACGGGTTAAAAATTTTATAAACTAGTTTAGTTATTAGTTTGAGAGCAAAGTTACGCGGTCCTGGGCTAGAGCAGGAACATGCCCAAGATGATTTTGAGTCAATAAGTTTAGTAATAAGAGTCTCATATGTCTCGCCCCACCGAAGGTTCTAAGTCATTGGATGACTTACCAACCCCAAAAAACACATTCAACATTAACAAATATTATTAGATAACGCGGTAGTAAGGCTTAAATAAAGCAGCAAAACTTCTGAGCAACAAAAAACAGTTAACATCTTAATAATTTCTCATAATAAATTACTGTTTAAGGAAATAATAAAAGTTAGTATAATATTCCTCGCGCCATTTTTCCTGTTATAAAGTTCACATTGTTATTTTCGCGCCATTTTGTTCGCTTACCGCGGCCATTTTGTTATAGTTGACAACACACGCTCGGAAAGTAGTTGCATAAGTAGTTAGGTACAGTTATTGTTGCCAGAATGTTACTGGCCGTTTTTATTCTTGAAGTGTAATGATGATAGTTTTAACTTGTTTGCACTGTAGTTGTGAATAAAGTTAGTGAGAATATTTTGATGTTTATTTAAAAATGGAAGCTTCTAGTTTAATTGGAGAGTAAGCGATAAAAATAAATGTATTCCGATATTGTATCCTTTAGTGATATTTTAGACTTAATTAAATGGCAATCAAAATGTGATACATTTTCTATAACCGTTATACATAAGGCGTTTGATAAAGCCATTTTCATTTTATGAAAAATGCGTTATCTCACACTGTGAAATGTAACGTAAGTGTTGTTTCATGTCAGTATTCTGTAAAGTATCACTCCGGTCCAAACTATAATTAATTTTATATTATTATATTAGGTATATTTTTGTAAATCTATACTTAATATTATAAAGAGGTAAAATTTGTAAGTTTTTAAGTTGTTTGTTTGTAACCGCTAACCGCGGGGTAATCTTTGGAACCGCTTGTCGAATTGGCAAAATTCTTTCACTGGTAGATAACTACAATGTTCTTGGGTGCTATAGGCTATGAAACATCACGCTACAATCAAATGGAGCCGTGCAGCGGGTGAAACCGCGCGAGATTAGCTAGTTTACTATAACTTTAGATTTATTAAATTCTTTGACTCAATTTAACCTCAAAATAAAACCACACAACTTCCCCGCCAACACACAGACCCATCCCCGAAAACTCTTACCAAAATGTAATCACAATTTCTTAGTTGGAAAAGAGACCGTTTTGTTAAAAGCATTGAGTTTATATTGCATTGCACATCAGACAGTTTTCGTATACCGTAACTTCTTCTTCCTTTTACAAATGACCTTTGTCTTTGGGTTCTGTAATGAAATCATTATGGGCTCCGTAATATCCTATTTAGAAGGAAAAAAGCTTAAATAAAGGTTGTACGGAACCACGGATGCGTTACGTTCTACTATTCAAGATAAAGGTTATGGAATTAAGCGATAATTATTATTTTAAACACATTTTTCGAGTGAAATGAAGCAGATTTTTAGGTAAATTGTTTATAAATGTTATTGGAATAGGATTCTTTTTTGGGAAGCCGCTCAGAGAGAATAGACGAAATTTTTTACCAGTGGACGGGGGGGAATCAGACTCTTACTGACTAAAAATCCATAACAACAGGATGTATGATGTTTATGTGACGTTGTATGTTTGGAAACACCCACGACAGAGGAGAAAAGTTTTTTGTGGCGAAAACGTTTTTATAACAAAAATCCATCCCATTCCTCTTTTCCTTCGAGCTGGTGCCGTGGTACATCATAACACTTATTATTGCATCCGCAACTCGCTGAGAGGAAATGGACGCTTTTTTGTCAGGGCAAAATCATCAAGTGACTTCTTCCGCTCAGGGTAAGAGAGAGTGTAAGACTCTTACTGACTAAAATCCCCTCCGTTCCTTCTCATGCTCTGGGCCGAGGTCGCGGTGCCTCGTTGCACTCAACCCGCAACGCCGGCTGAACATCAGCCCTATGGGGCCCCGTCTGTGGTGGTCTATTGGCTCTTTGAAGAGCGCGCGGAACGCTACGCGTCGTACGCTCAGGTCTGGTTCTTGTCGGGCGGCGAGCTACCCTTACTCGCCGTCCACAGATCCGTGCTTACGGTGATCTCTCGAGAGGAAATGGACGCTGCATTAGTATTAGTTATATACGAAAAATGTAAACACAGAGTTCATAAATTATACATATGTAGGTATATGTATATATGCTGAAGAAGACAAAGAGAAAATAATAATAAAAAGAAGTTTGGACCAAGTCCACACTTCTTAATCTATGGACAGCCGCAATACCAGAGGAGTTGACGTGCATTGCCAGCTTTTGAGGGATAATGGATTAGGGAGAGATAGAGAAACGGGAAGGATTAAGCCTCCGGTATCAATAACTTTTTTCCGAGTTATATGTATTTTCTATGATTATTTAGACACCACTGACATACGGTGAAGGTAAACATCGTGAGGAAACCCGGACTTATTTTATTATAAGTTTTAAATCGCCAACCCGTATTGAGCAAGCGTGGTAATTAATGCCTTAACCTTCACTGTATGAGAAGAGGCCTTTGCTCAGCAGTGGGCACTTATAGGCTGATGATGGTGATGAACATCACTTACAAGTCGAAACACAACGATCTAACTCAATGTTCGAGAAAACGGTAATTTCCAACTAGTCAAATTCAATACTTTTATCCAAATGTCAAAAACGATACTTTTCTATGAATTTTGTATGAAACGCTGAGTTATGCCGTCATAGTATTTTTGCGTCAAATAGAATATAATATAATACTTATTTACTTAAAAAATAGCTAAAAAATATCGAAATTTGAGTGTATCGATCGATCGATGAATATTAGAATAGTTATTTTTCAATGTTTTCAATGTTTAACGTAGGTACAGAAACGGCGAATAAATTTATTTTTGACCTAGGAAACTACCTTTTATTCCCCTTTTCTAACCCAAATTCCTAAATTGTCAAAAACCTTAAAAACATAGAAAGCTTTATTCTTTATTACCTACAGCAGTATCCAATCAGACAGGCGTCGGTGGCTCATACAAAATACATTTCAACCAATATCTCTGATGGCCATTGTAAGAAATACAATAGATGAGATTAAATTTCTCTGAATAGAATGTTTCAACGTACCAATTGTACAGTGCAAGCTATAAGCGGACTTATTGAATTAAAAAGAAGGTATGTTTTTAAGAAAACGATTTTGAAGTAATATTACTTTGCTTAACATGACCTGATATTATTTTCTAGTTAAAAGTTACTCTTAAGTATTTGACGGACGCGGGCCTGCAGGCGAGGAACAAGGGTAGGTCGCTGCATGACCAGAACCAAGCCCAAGCGTACGGTCGCGTAGCATCCCACACACTACTCAAAGAGCTAATAGACCACCACAGACGCCGACTCTACAGGGCTGATGTTCAGCAGGGATTGCGCAGCTAGCGCAATAATGCACCGCGACCTGGAGCAGGAGAAGGAACAGGGTGGCTTTTAGTCAGTAAGAGTCTGACACTTCCTCTCACCTCACCCAGGACGACGGAAGTAACTTGACGATTTTCTCCTATCATAAAACATTATGATATAGAACAGAGTATTTGTGCAAGTTCAAGATTGATCCAAGTACAGAGTTAGGCTGTTACAGATTTTGGGGAATCCATATATTATACCTATTCCGCTTTTATGGTATGAGAATAGAATACCCATGTTTTATTTTATATGCATACTCGTACTAGCGAAATCGTTAAGGCCGTTGTCGGGATCACATACTTTTTCAAGCAATCAGCGCCATCTGCCGGGCTTTTTCGTGAATCTAAACCATACAGAGCGTCACTCAATCGCATACAAAAAAAATCATTAAAATTGGTCAAGCCGTTTAGGAGGTGTTCGGTGACATACACACGTACAGCACAATTTTAATAATTATGAAGATTACAATACCAGCAATCCGCCTCGGTTTGGCACGGGTGCAACGCTGACACTGAATTTCTCCACTACTTTTTGTACATTATACATTTTTGGGACTGGTCAGCTCCAGACTGTCTATTGTCCTTAAGGTTACTTTTTTTATATTTGAATAAATATTAAGTAGTGTTACACTGTTCTCACATAATTGAACCAACTGTTTGTAAAAGGAATATGTATGTGAAACTGATTTAAAAAGAGTAACCATCGAGTTTCTTGCTCGTTCTTCTCCATCGGAATATACACTTTGGAACGAGCAAATAGCTTCACTAGAGGACTGGACCGACACTTTATCTTAAAAATTTTGTTTGACGATCAAAAGTGCCTGTAAAGGAATAAATGATTTTTGACTCTGACTTTGACTTTTTTTTAATCTTTTTTATATACTTCCTATTAATAAAATTAGATATATTAAAACAGATTTATACTTCATATTGAAACGTTATTAAAAATATTGAAGTCCTACCTGAAACTGAGAGGTAATTTATTCCTCTCTTCCCTCCCTAAAGAGTTCCAAAGTTATCGGTTCCGGATCGCTTGCATTCAACGATTTAGATCGACCTTCACAAACTTATCATTTCGATAATGAGCTGAATTCTTATCCTACGAGGTTATCTTTTAAATTTCCTTTTCTTTTAAAAGATAAGTGGTCGATTTTGATGATTTTTCGTTTAAGTAGATTGTTATGGTGTTTTAAAAGTTGTATTTTTCTCAACTGAAAGTTTTCTTAACACTGCTTTTTTCTTTAGTTAACTTATTAATTCTTGTAGTGATACAATATTATTATTTTCGTTTCGCTCGCATTATGTTTCGGCGTGTAAGTGTTACAGAAGGATACTGACTAAGACTCCCGTTTAATCTCATTTCACCTCAAGTCCCAAACCTCCAAAAAGCTGGCAATACTCTTGTTGGGGAGTTCCTCTGGAGTTCCCGTTGTCTTTTACGGTGCCCATTGCTTAGAATCATGCTCATCATCATCAAATATAAGTATATGGTAAATAGTCGATTCTTCTAGATTCTAGCTCAAGTGATTGATGATCGTAGTTATTGACGCCATTTTTGTTTCTAAGCAGTTATTGTTAATATAGTACTTAAGCATAAATACAATTTTGTTACTATAACCGACTTCCCGAAAGTAGGTAGTTCTCAATTCTGGTGTTGAGTTATTTTTGCAGTCACGAAATAAAAATACGACTAAACTACACTTACGGCTAACCAATTTAACGATACCCCATCTAACATTAATTTTCTTCTTCTACAGGTCTCAAATGACATTGGTTACCCACACTGCCAACCAATTTAACAATAACCCCATCTAACATTTATTTTCTTCTTCCGCAGGTCTCAGATGACATTGGCTACGTGGTCTACTCGGCGTTAGGCAGTTTCTACATACCGTCCTGCATCATGGTCTTTGTGTACATCCGAATATACTTCGCGGCGAAGGCGCGCGCGAGGAGAGGGATCAGGAAGAACCCTAGACCACGACCTGTAAGTAGACCATTTAATTGTTTATTTAAACTTCAAGCACAATGGGTAAAGTGGAATGCCTTAGGTATTTGCTACCAGCCGACCCTTGGGTGATGCAGAGATGAGCCAATGGTCGGTGCAAGAAGTAAGCAAACGACTTAATGTTAAATGGGTATTATTAACATACAAGTTACAATTTTGTATATAAAAACATACTGAAATTATATTATATAATAATAAATAACGTATACATATATATACTCATACTTATTATAATGTATGGTGATCACGATTTACTTAGCCAAACTTTTCAATAAAAGCTCACGAACCTTTTGTTTGAAGTCAAACGACTAGACACTATCCTGACATCAGACTGTAATATTTTACTGCTGTTCTCTTCTTTAGGGATGGAAAAATAAAAAATAAACAAAAAATTTAAAACATTTTTTTATCAGGACGGACAATAAGTCCCGGATCTAAGCACTTCTGAGATGTTTTTATACATTTAGAGTACAGTAAAATCATAAATCTTATCATTTATGCTTATGTAAACTAGTGTGCCTAACCATCAACAATTGCACCACTGCTTACCATCTCCGTACTGACATACGTCAGTGGTGTCTAAATAGTCATAGAAAGTACATATAACTCGTTAAGAGTCACATTGATACTTGCCAGGTTTCGAACCCTCCGGGCCACGGCCTTTCGGATATGATAAGACAAATATTTTAATAATATATTTATCTAATAATAAAACTATTTCTATTTTTAGAACGAGCAGCAGACCAGTTTTAGTAATCCCCCAAAGGGCACGCGGCCGATGCCCTCCACACACCCCATGCCTCCGGGACATCTTAGCAATAACAATGGGTAAATACAACTGTCTCTTTCAATAATAATAATTGTGTTTTTGTGTCTTAGTGATTTTTGTCCTATGTGTGATATTATTGAACTTATTTCTGGATTATTAGTATCTTCGAATTGATTTGCGAAGTGGCTGGCCAACTGGCTGCCGCGCAACGTGTTGCGGGTTAGATTCCCGCACGGAATAACTCTTTGTGTGATTAACAAATTGTTGTTCCGGGTCTAAGTAATACATAAACAGGACGTTTATGTGAAATGGTATGTTTGTTAACACGCCCCGTTACAGGAGAAAATCCAAGAGCAGGGCAACTTTTATTTTAATAAGAAAAAAAAGGCTATAGTTTTATTAAGTGTTTTGATTTCAACTATTTTTGGGTGGTTATGTATATTTTTTCAACGTTTGATCCTATAGAATAGGCTTCATAACATTATTGGTGGCACGTTGATGTTACATTATATTATATATATTTAATGTTGGAGAGCGAAGCGTCGACACGAATGAGTCGGCTCGACTAGAGTGATACTACGGCCTAACATAAAAATGGCGTGAAACAACCACAGTGTTGTATTTTGCTAAGAGAATGACGTTACCGGAGGTTCAATCCTTTTTCTCTTATTAAATCTCTTATTAAACTCCAATCCGGAAAAGGCCGGCAACGAACTCGTAACTTCTCTGGTGTCGCAGGGAACATATCCCCACGTGACTATTGCAACATCTTCTAACTTATAAGGACGATTCAATATTTTCTTTGGGCCTCAAGAATTATATATGATGAGCCTTCGTGTTGTAAAAAATCTAATAAAAATCGCACCCTTTCAAAAAATAGAGATTTAAAAACTGAACTATGTAGCATTATTTATAATTTATTTTTTGTCAAATTTTATTTTCTTATAAAATATATTCTTTATTATTTTATTCTAATAGACAAGGAATGCAAGGTCGAAGTATAAAATCCAAATTGACGAGGATTTTCCGAATTCCACCTCGAAAAGGAAGCAGTTCGACATATTTTTCTCTTAAACAAAATATTTTCGACATTCTTCATTGAATGTCTTTGCTTTTAATGTAGAAAGGTATTAGAGTGAGTTTATTTAGTTTACAAGGTGTTTATAAGAAATAAATTACAATGTTTTTGGATTTTCTTTAATGTCATTAACTGACCGCAGGTTCGGTACCTAATTGGTATACTTAACCCAGTCTTTAGTCTTTCTTATGACATAGGTCCGCAAACGTGCAGACGGATTACCTGATGGTAAGCAATCAGCGCTGTCCATGGACACTCGCAATACCAATAAAATTACGATTAAAAATTACCGATTTTCTGTAAGGCCGTATAGTTTCGTTCCGGTCGAGCATTCGTGCCGAAGCATGGCCTTCCCACACTTTAAAACAAAAACTTATGTATCAGAAACTTCATATACCTACATAATATTCTATATTCAAATGTATCTTGTACTTGCGACTATGTATAGTTCGTTCCATAATTAGAGACAACAATTTGACAACAGCAAATGTCAAAGTACAAAAAATGTGGCCAGATTTTTTGACATAGTGATGGGCCCGAGTACGATGTTTTAAATAAAATACCGATACCGTTTTTTTATAAAATACCCTGAGCAAAATAAAACAGTTGCGGTCATGTTTTTTATAGTTTAGTCGAATTAATAATAATAATTTAAAATAAAAATGCTAAATCCAAGACTGGCTAAAAGAAAAACATTATATTTGAGGAACCTATGCTGAAAGCAGAGCTGTTGGAGATTTCCCGGAAAGAGAAGAGTAATTATGAACGATACGTCGTGGACTGATGGCTGCTAAAAGGGGGGTCATTATTTTACGGTTGCCTCCTTACCATTGTGATTTTAACCCGACTGAGTTAGCATGGGCACAGGAAGGTACCAGGGAAAGTAGCTAAAAATAATAAAGCTTTTAAATTGCACGAAGTCCAGAATTTAATTTCGGTCTTTCAGTCAATACCGGTCGCGGGACTTCACTATTTATGAAATGGAAAAAACTTGCAACACTCGAAATGTCAAATCGTTGTCTCTAATTATAAAACAAACTATAGACATTGTGAAATACAACCGCAATTATAACAAAAAAACAAATGACTACGCCTTCGAAAAATAAAGCGCCGAAATAATTTTTTAAGCATAAAATATTGTTGTTTTTTTTTCCAGCGAAAGCCAGATATCAACAATAGAAACGCCACAAGTGCAAATACCTACAGTTACCTGTGAACTCGCGTCCGATATATCGACGAGCGAGGCTGGAGACACCTTACCTCCACCGCCGGACGAACGAAAAGATACGCTTAAGGTAAAAAAACATCGATAAATTTAAAACATAGCTTAGTATTTGATATTGTAGGAAATGTAACAATCGATGTCATTCCAAAATCCTGGTTTACAAAAGTCGCTTTGTATTTGATATTGTAGGAAATGTAACAATCGATGTCATTCCAAAATCCTGGTTTACAAAAGTCGCTTTGTATTTGATATTGTAGGAAATGTAACAATCGATGTCATTCCAAAATCCTGGTTTACAAAAGTCGCTTTGTATTTGATATTGTAGGAAATGTAACAATCGATGTCATTCCAAAATCCTGGTTTACAAAAGTCGCTTTGTATTTGATATTGTAGGAAATGTAACAATCGATGTCATTCCAAAATCCTGGTTTACAAAAATCGCTTTGTATTTGATATTGAAGGAAATGTAAAAATCGATGTTTAGCTAGCTACTTTTCAAGAGTAACTATCATAAACATATTGAAAATAATGTTGAGGCAGCGGTAAGTAGCTTTTCGTAAACAAGCTGATGGATGATGAGGTTTGAGGTTTTTAAGAGATGAATAAAACATTTTGATTGCGTGGGAGCTAAGAATGTAATGGCCAATAAAATGGTTTCATCATCAGCCTGTTGTCGTCCACTGCTGGACATAGGCCTCCCCAATTGCACGCCACTGAGCTCGATGTTCAGCTCTAGTAGATAAAATGGTTTACATAAAAACAACTTAACGCTACGAAATGCAACGCGATTCGCGGTCCATGCCACAACGTCATCATTGGTGCAGACCGGTGATTGGTCGAAACAAACGTGATGCCAGAACAAATAACGTCTTACTCACGTGAATAAAGTGAGAAACGCTCGACTAGTTTCTAGTCACTACGGGACTTTTGGTCGCATGAGTTGACTGCGAGAAGTAAAGAGTCTCTCAGTCCATTCACGTGAGTACGTCGTTATATTCATTATATTCATTAAGCTGATATAGAAAACAGCTTGTCCAAAAAGTTGTAGAAAAATAATCGTACAAAAGTGTTTGCAGAAAAAAGTTATAATTTCTTTATATATATAATTCTGCTGTACGTGTGTATGTAATTGAACTTCTCCTAAACGGCTTGACCGATTTAAATGATTATTTGCCATTGAGTGACTCCCTGAATGGTTTAGATTCACAAATCAGCCCGGCAGATGGCGCAGATTGTTTGAAAATGTATGTGATCTCAGAAACGGCCCTAACGATTTCGCTGAAATTTGATATGTGGGGTTTTCGGTTAGGGTCCACTAGTAGTTTTATAAAATAATGTTGTACAAAAAGAGTTGAAGAGAAATAGACTGGGGTTTGGTCTGTTATATTTGGAATCCAGATTGTGCATAGACAGTCGCTTTGAATATTTTAATCCTAAAAAAACAAATCGACTGCACTGAATAACCGCGCAACATAATATCGTGAATTCGACCTAGAACAAGTCTCTATGAGATCAACATTTTGCTGTCTCTGGTCTAGATTTCGTATCAAATCGGTAAAAAAATATGTTTCTATACGCACCTACATATGTCACAGTAAAAAATACTATAGTGAGGTCAAAAAAATAAAATTAACCAAAATGTTTGCCGATGATCTCTAACTAGTATTTTTATAAAAAATCTACTACTTTACCCAGTTCAAAACAGATCTCTGTCTCACTATCGTATAAACACAAAAACTTCGAGTAGACCAGCAAAACTCCATCAATATCTAACAAGGTAAACCTAGAACTAGTAAATTCTATCTAGTCCATCACTTAGAACCTAATCTAACTGTGATCTGTGGCTTTAACTTAGCCGCCGTTAAGTTAACTATAAGTCTTCGAACTAAGATCAATCCTAACTTAGGTTGACTTTTAGTCAATTCTCCTGTTAATTGTTTATAGTCCAGATAAATTGATGGAGTCTCTTATTTAAGGTTTGAATAAAAAAGTTATTATTGGTAAATAATGATTAACTCATATGAATGTGACTGCACGGTCGGTGCGGTGGCTGGGCAACTGGCTGCCGTGCAACGTGACGCGGGTTCGATTCCCGCACGGAACAACACTTTGTGTTATCCACTAATTGTTGTTGCGGGTCTGGGTGTCATGTGTATGTGTGTGTTTGTAACCGCACCAACGACATTGGAGAAAATCCTAATGTGGGGCAACGTTTTTTATAAAAAGAAATTAATGAGAAATGCTCTACGAGTTTCACAATGGGACTCTTACAAGTTAAATCGCGTCATGGCGACGTGCAAGCTGCACATGAATAAAACTCCCGTTATGACTTGAAACAAGTAAATCTTTACTCGGTTAATTCATTGAGTAAGTCGTTATTTTCAATAAAAAAAAACTCATTCATTTTCAGTTTGGTTTCAATGCAGTTTTCGCATCCCAACCAACAAACAAATAATCAAGTCTTTTCTCTTTTATAATGTTATTCTTTTTCGTTTATAAACTCCTTGCCTTGCGTGGCTTGGATATGTGTAATCTGTCACAAATAATAATCTATCTAATCAGAACATCGCTACCCTCAAATATGCAAAATATATAATTTCTGCAACTAATCAACTATCCTTTCCCCAGGTCGTCACATCAGCACAAGTACAAAAAAATCCACTGGCCTCCTGTCCATTGAGGAGTTCAACACTCTCAGTGAACGGGGAGCTCCAGCTGCAGCAGGCGAGGGGTAGAGCACCCAGCGTCGCGATAGATGCTGACATGGTCTCCGAAATGGAACCCTCATCATCAGACTCTGGTGTAGTCAGCCGCTGCGGAGGCGTGAAGCCTCTAAAACTCAGAATCTTCAAAAAGACAGACAGAAGACAAGAAAAATCTCAACCAAGTAAATCTGAATTAGAACCAGCATTACCAAAGCCACACAAACCTAGAGATCCAGAGAGAGAAAAGAAACGATTAGCGAGAAAAAAAGAGAAGAGAGCTACTTTAATTCTAGGTTTAATTATGGGCAGCTTCATAGCTTGCTGGCTGCCATTCTTCTTCTTGTATATACTTAAAGCAGCTTGCAGAAACTGTGTGATACCTTCGAGCGCATTCGCGATAGCCTTCTGGCTGGGATACATGAACTCGGTACTAAATCCTGTGATCTACACCATCTTCAACAAGGATTTTAGAAGAGCGTTTAGAAGAATACTGTTTAAGTGATGTTTAGCCTACGTGTGCTGTTACCGCTGCGTAGCCAACAGGATCCTGATGGCTCAGCAGAGGGCAGCACCGAATCTTTACAATGTACGTTAAACAGACTCTCAATAGTTCTAATGGTGGAAGCGGTTCAGTGATAAACAGTTACTATAATTATACACTCTGACTGATATTATTTCAATCGCCATCATTATACTATACAAATAAACATAATTATAATTTTAACTATACAACTATTTAAACAACTAATTATAAATAATTTCCTAACAAACTTTTCATGTAATTCAGAATTTATTTAAAAGTTATAACATTATATTTATGGAAAAAATTCTATTGTCTACTTTGTGTAATATCGGTCAAGGAGCGGATAATTGGTATTACAGTCAATAGAACCGAAGTGACATAAAATTACGCTTACATATAAATAAAACTAGATCATATTTATCGTATCATAAAGTCTAGATCAGCTTGTCAGATTTTTAAGCTATTTATAGAGAACCTATTGTCATTTCATACGCAACTATAACTATTTAATAAGTGCCCACATTCAAATCTACTTTAATTATATCAGATACGGCTAGAGACAGTTCAACAATAATATAATTTATTTTAATGGAATAATTATTTTTAAAGAAAACACTAATAGTGCCAACCCTAAAACTGTTTACAAATAGAATATTTAAGTAAAATTTATTATTATAATAGAAAATATCAGGATATTAATGTACATTTATTTATTTTAAAATTAAAATGGAATTGTAAATTATAAAAAATACATAGATACTATGAGATAATTCGTTTCGTAGATTTTTTTAATATTCGTAGCTGAATTATAGTGTTAATATACAAATAAAATACGGAGAAACTGCAAAAACACTAATGGATTTGAAAAATTATACATACTAATTATATAATTATTCCTTTAAAAGTACAATAAAGGAATTACATAGCTTTAATGTCATCAGATTTCGTAAAACATTAGCTTTAGCTGAGTTTGTGCCCAACTTCACTGTGGCGTAATCGGTCATACATTAAGAAACAAAATATGAATGGAAAAAATGAAAAATACCTAATTAAATAGTTATTACACTTAATCTGAATCTAATAAGATCAATAAAATATCAGAACAATATAATTACCCTGTTTTAGCTTTTGTTTTTTTTTATTGACTGACAATTTGATATTTTCCAACTGCCTTAATCATATGTGTAGGGTAAACTAAACAAAAGCTTAGTGAAATTAATAAAAATTAATAAATCAGTTGTCATTAAGGAAAAAAAAAGAAATTGATAAAAGAAACGTTTTGATACCATCACACAGCAAAAACTGCTAAGCAAAGTTCCCTTCTCACACGGAGAAGGTATGAGCATTAATCACGCTTGCCCAAGCCAGATTGATGATTTCAAACTTATAATTAGAAATCATACGTTTAGGTTTCCTCTCAATGTTTTCCTTCAGCGTTTGCCATTGGTCTCTAAATACATTAAAAAAGTACACGGTACTTAGAAAAGGTCGACTTGGTATTTGCCAGGTTTCGAACCAGCATGTGTAAGACGCGTGAGACTGAACCAAGTTTTTTGGCCAGCACGACCTTAATTATACAATAAACCTCATTCATTATAGCAGATACACAAATATAATGAATCTTTATTATATAAAAAACAATTGACTGTAGCACATCTTCCTCGCCACCTTGATCGGGAGAAAACAATGTTTAAATCAAATAAAAAACTGTTAATGAATATAAATTATATGACTAAGGTACGCCGCATTGAATTTGGGTCTTAGATACACTTGTAAACTTGCTAGAAAACTCATTATAATAGTAGACTCTATTAACATTTTATAACATTACATATTTCTTTAACGATTCCTTGAAGACTTACCCATACGCTTATATACGTACAAAATAGTGGATTATCTATCCGTAGTTTTCATATAATTATTTGCTATAATTATAAATTCTAACATCCACCATGATACATTAAAAAATACAACATAAAATTATAAATTGTTCATTTATATTGTCATAAAATTTTATGAGAAATGTTCAATGAAAATATCTACTGTTGAATTTTGTTGACATTTTGTATAAAAAAAATATAAATACATTGTTATTGTTTTAAAAATAATATACCTCTCAATACATATTTTATAAAACAAATTATATTTTTATCAAATGTGGTTTATAATTGTGTTTTTTTGTTTATATTTATTTGAATATTAAAAAGTATATTAATATTTATGAATAATTTCTCATAAAAACCTAAAACATATTAATATCAAATATTCATTTCAAACTATTTCAATCACAACTACTAATTACTAAAACAATAAAATAAAGCAATCATTGTAAAGATGCGGTGTATTAAATTTTACTGATTATTTTGTGAAAGTAATTTAAATTAGTTTTATGTTTAAAATACAATTATAATATTTATAGAATTTAAAAAGACAATTATGTATAGTATAATTTGTTTTAAAATTATAAAAGTTTGTAACTTTTTAATTAATTATTTTTTGATGTATTAATTATTTTGCAGATTGCATCAAAAATTCTTTCACAATGTAAACAGTATTTAGTAGGTTAAATATATTTTTAAAAATAAAATAAAAAATGACTGTGCCTCTGTGCCTATCGACAAGCACTACACAACAATAAAATGCACTTATTTGAAAAATTAATGTAAATAATATACTTAGTTTAATTTTCCTTTCGTCATAAGGGTTTTATTCAACCAAAATTTTGGTGGATATTGTAAATCATAATTTTAAATGTTTTTTAAACAGCGCTGGTCGCTTTAATATAGTTTTTGTTTAAGTTTTTCATGTAAATATGTACTTATATATAGATATGTACTGACATCTAGTTATATTATAGGCTATATTAATTATAATATACCAAAAAGAACACCAAATACTTCCTGTAAATTTTTCTAATCTTATGAATAGTAAAATGTTTTATCCAATAAATTTTAACCTTGTAATAAAATGTTTCCACTTAGCAAGTAAGGGTTGTGTAAATTTTTTGGTAAAGTTTAAAATTTTTCTATACACTGAATACGTTTTTAAATCCTAACCTCCGGAACTTTGAGTTTAAATTTCAAAATGAACTTAATTTTTTTTGGCCTCTGAATTATTTTTTAAACCATTTTCCTATCAACTATACCTACGACTGATGATAGTTTTTAATAAAATAAATCTTTTTCCAACCTTAATACAATTTGTAAATAATTATCTCCTCAATAATTATTTCGAAAATATCTTGTAAAATAATTATTAATGAACAACAACGACAACTTAATTCTAAATCGGTGTAAACTAGATTCTTGGATCTTAGGACTTAATACTTAAATACTAAGTATTATATTTTTAAGTAAAAATAATAACATAACAACACCATTGCCGAAATAGTGAATAATTAGATTTTTAGTATAATTATTAAATTAAATAATTATTAGATATTAATTACGTACTGAATTCAAAAGCAATAGAGAATGTAGTTTCTTTTTCTAATTATAATTATTTTTCACTGTTTTAAAAATTTCATATAGTCTTCCAAAGTGTGTGTGATTATCAGATAATAGTAGATATTGCCTGTCCTTACTTTGTGTAAAAAAAGTTAATTTATTTTACTGAGTAAAAATATATAAGATTTTGTGAGAGAGTAAAATATTTGCGGAGTAACATTTTTTCAAAATAATCTAGAACCCCACAATCCAGCACCGAGCCCTTGCTGTTTGTGTAGGTTCTATTTTTAAAATCGTGATATACGATTTTAGTCCTTAAAACATTGTTCACACAACATTTCCGTAGAAGTGTTGCGTGAATAATAAATAATTATATTATTAATGCAATAATTTATTTATTTAATTTTAATGAGTGAATAATTAATGTGAGAATTATAATTTAAGTGAGTAAAAAGTTTTTCAAAATACATACAGGTTTTTGTACAGTCTTACTTAAATCTTGTAAAAAATTACGCCATTATTACTTATTTAGTGAAAATATTTAGAATGTTTTTAAAAATTAAATAACTTATAGGTGGCTATCCTGTGTATTTAGTAACTTGTTCAATAAAAAATGTTCTAAATTAATAAAAAAAAACTATTTATACTTGTAGTATAATAATCTATATAGTATTTGTTAAATATTTTAATTTTTAATATATAAAAATAATAACAAAAATTCGGAACGCGTTACGTTTATATAGTTCTTTATATAAAAATTATAATTATTAAATTGTCTAAGACTATATATACGATTAACTATTAATTCTTATCGACTCAAAATGTAAATGAAAAAATATACGAAGTACCAATATACAAATTTTAATCTTTATTCATTTGTTTTATTCCGTTTTCCACAATGCAATACTTCCTTATGCACTGTTAATTCAAGGGTTCGATTCCCGATAGTTATTAAATCTAAATTGATTGAAAACTAGTGACCTGCCCCGACTTCACACGCATACAATGCTGATACTAAATTTTGCCAATCATTTAATGAATGTTAGTATACATATAAACCTTCCTTTTCAATCACTCTGTCTATTAAAAAAACGCATCAAAATCCGTTGCGTAGTGTTAAAAATGTAAGTGTATATAGCTAGGTACATAGGGACAGGGAAAGCGACTTCGCTTTATACTATGTATTGATTCCACAATACACTCGTTCATTATTCTCTGTTATTCGAATCAAGGGTTCGATTCCCGATAATTATAAGACGTCTTAGAATAATAACACCTAAGTCATACAGCTATTCTACGCTATTTCATACTAATATTATAAATGCGAAAGTTACGATGTTTGGATGTTTGTTACTCAATCACGCCAAAACGGCTGAACGGATCTGGATGAAATTTGGCACAGGCATAGGATACACTGCGGAGGCACAGGCAAAGGAGATAGACTACTTTTACCAACGTTCTACTTGGGCGAAGCCGGGAACGGAAGCTAGTTGAAATCTCATGAATAAAGTTCAATTTCGATTTGAAACTTAC